AACATAAATCCTCCGCGGGTCCCCAGGGGGATGTTAGAGAAAGGGAGTGATCATTATAAACCACTTAGTGCTGTGTGCTCTGTATCATGTTGCCCTGAGAAAGTGCTGTTTGATTGGCTCATAAAGTAGGCTTAGTAAATCCTGTAAATACTGATGTGGGTAATTGTGCACGTTGGAAATTAATACCTGAGAGTGTATTATAAGGATCACTGTGTCTCCAGAACCATCACCCAGGCATGTGTAGTGTTCTGGTTTTAGGGTGGTTACATTTTATGATTTCCCTTTTATCTGTCAAATGTCGCTTGGTTTTATTATCTCCCCTCCTTGGCACTGACCTACACATAAGTTTTTTGTCATTATTTTCTCTCTTCATTTCCTTCTTGATGTTTTGAGCTATGTCAGAGTTGCCCTCCAACCAACTTCTTCTGTGAACCTCAGATTCTGCAAATGGCATTGTCTCAGAAAAAAGAAACACTTCAAGTTGCTAGGGAAGATGACTGGTTTTAATGTTATTCTTTTTCCAACTTTATGAGACATTCTCAGACAAGTTAAAAGGAAATAATGAAATCAAGAGGCAAGTGGCAATTGCATTTTTTTTTTCCTTTTGCTGTTTAGAAGATAAGATAGCAACAGTGAGTCATGGGGAAACTTTCCAGGTAGATCTGTAATTGGTCTCTTTTGCAGGATCTTGAATGTGACTTAAATTAAAAAATGCTATTTTTATAACTATCAGTTTGCAAGGGGCTTAAATATTTTCTTTAGAGAGAAAAAGTTAAATGTTAATGAGTAATGATTTTATTAGCACTTTTGAATTCCACAGGCATTCTAACAATTACTGAATATAACCCTAAAACTTAATGGGGGAATAACAGGATGAATTTAGAACTATATTATTGTATTACCATAAAATTCTGGTAAATGCTTAACATATCTAATTTACTATTAAATAATTAATAACATATGCTAAATTCTGCTGTTTTATAGGCAAAGAACATAGTACTTTTTAAGACATTCATTTCTCTTAAGTTTCATGGAATGCAAACCTGTATAGAATTTTTTAAAGCAGTATGATAAATGAATGCACCCAACTTGCACGAGCATGTACAAATTCATTGCCAGATGGCTGGCTGTAAATCCAAAAATTGTTATAAAGATTAAGTTTGTTATTTCAGTGGTATCAAATTCAGTAGAAAATCTTCATCTAATAGGTAACAAGGTACAACTCACCCTTCTCTTACTTGAAGGACACTGGCTTTTGTATCAAGATATAAGTTAATATAGGTCAAGTTCAGATTTATTTGTTTGTTAATCAACTCTTAACATTTATAATCCAGATATTTCTGTCTGTGGTTAATTATTTTTAAAATGCATTTAATGAAGTTACAAATCATATGACGCATATGATGTTTCTTTTTCAACAAAAATAAAAAGAACAGAAATAAAATAACTATGTAAACTGTTAACCTGAGGTTTCCTGAATTTGATACTTTTTTCTTGGGATTCTTACTATATTAGAAAGATCATAATAGTTATTATGGGAATGCTCTCAAGAAAAATTTTGACCTGATGGGTTCTGCCCAGTCTATTTATTGAAAATCACTTCATAAATTCCAAGTTCGATGGCTAGTTTTGGGGTTTTATCTTTTTTCTATTTTTAATGATTTATTTACTTATTTGAAACACAGAGTGGCAAGGAAACAGGGAGAGACACAGAGAGAAAGATCTTCCCTTCTGTTTGCTCACTTCCCAAGTTGCAGCAGGTCCGGGGCAGGGGTGTCTGGGCCAGGCTGAAGCCAGGAACCTGGAACTCCATCCAGATCTCCCACTTGTGTGGGAGGAGCCCAGACATTTGGGACATCCTCTGCAGCTTCCCAGGTGCATTACCAGGGAGCTGCCTGGGAAGTGGAGCAGCCGGAACTTGAACTGGCGCTCCAATATGGGATTCTGGTGTTGCAAATGGCAGCTCCACCTGCTGCGCCACAACACCAGCATGGTTTCATCTTTGACCTTTCATTGGCACTTGGCACTGTTGGCTTGTTCTGCTTCTGATGGAAATCCCCCTCACCCCCACGCCTCAGCTTCTGTGCCGTCTCTCAGGGCAGTTTGCCCCTGGTCACCATGAGTGTCCCTTTTCAAAATGCGTTTGTGAAAGGCTCTTTTCTTCTGACTGATGCTTGAAATGTGGTCGTTTCTTGGAATTCCTCAAACACAGGATAATACAATGTCTGTGTTACTCCTTTCATTGAAAGCTCCAAGGGTTTTCTCAAGTGCTGCAAGGATGGCAAATGCAGGTCCTTCCAGAGGCAATAATGTCAGTAAATGAGGAGATGAGGATATTAAAAAAAAACACACACATAGAAAGCAGAGAGGAATTTCCAGAAATGAGGAAGAGTGTGCTTCTTCTAAAGCTGCTTTACTTCACCCCAGCCTGTTTCCTATGAAAGCAGGTGCTCATTTCTTCACTCACCTACTACTGATAAAGTACTTACTATGTGCTTGGCATGCAGGTGGACAAAGAGAAGAAAATACAATAAGCCATGTCTTTTGGAGCTTAACTGTTTCTCAAGATGTCAAACAAAAGCTTGTGAAGTGATGTTCAAGATCACTAGATCTTCAAAATTAAAAAAAAAAAAGATAAACGGAACTCCAGGTTCCTATACAATTCCATATTTTCTTTTAGATGTTGACTTAAAATGCTTAAAGATGCAGGACCAATTGAAACCACACCCATCTATTTGCAACATTGGCCTTATAAAATAATATTCTGCCATCATAGTCTACAATCCCAAACTGTGTTCGATTTTCCAGTTTGATCTCTGCCTACTTTTTTGTTTACCATCCTCTGTTTCTGATCGAAATGTCTGGCCGCTTCTTTCCTCTGTTGCTTCTTATGTATTGTACTTCTTGCTAGAATGTGCTTCCATTTCTCTCCCTTTTCATCCCCGGTTGGTTGATGCTCATAGATAGCCCAGTGTTAAATCCTTTGAAAGCAAATCCTAATCTCACTGTATCAAAATTCCTCTTATTCTTCCAGTACTGCACAGGATTTCTTAAATGTTCTTTTATTGGAACACTTACCACTGTGCTGCTGAACCCCTCCCACCCTGCCCAAAGCTATAGTTTCATCTTTGCATACCAGGAGTTCAGCACAGCAGTTTGTAACAAAATCAGTGCTTTGTAAATATCTCAGAATGAGCAGTAGTTAACTCCATCCAATAGGTTTACCTTGCAAGCATGGAACAGACAGTTTTCTCTGAACTGAAGCTTTCTTTCATGTGTTAATCAGCTTGACATAAAACTTTTCATTTGGTAAAAGTCATAATTATCACACTTTGTACCAGGTATATCTGAAAGGCCTACTTTACCCCAGTGCACTCTGTACTGCCTCACAGTCAAACTCACCCTCACCTCCTGCCACACACACACCAAAACTTCTGGAATGGTTATGCTTGCTGACTTTTGCATTTGTAATTTATAACCCTGGATTTGTCATATACTATAGCAAAAACATTCCCCTTTGTATTTGGATTTGCTTATTTATTGCCCTCAAACTCCCAAGGTCATCTTAAAAGGTAGGTTGGGGGGGTGGGCAGGAGCATGCAAACTGGAGAAGAGGACAACCTTTATGCATTTTAACACATAACTGCACATTGACAATTACACTAGGAAACTAAAAGGGATGTTCAGATGTTTGATCTTTTTTTAAATAATTATTTTATTTATTTGAAAGTCCGAGTTACATGGAGAGAGAAGACAGAGAGAGAGAGGGGGGTCTTCCATTCCACTGGTTCACTCCCCAAATGATTTTTTAGGTAGAATCATTGTGAACATGACAGCCATTATACACATAGGAATTTTCAAGTTGTTTTGTCTGTGAGGCGACTAGTATAACCAGTGTTCCTACTGGTGACGTGTTTTTCCAAAAGAGTAACTCTTGGTAAAGCTCCATATGAAATGCAGCAACTTACCTCAATTTATTTGATTGTTGGATTTTATTTCTGGAAAACTTAGCTTAGACTGAAAGTGTAAAGGACATATGTGGTTATATATGACATAGTGTTGGGCTTAGGACTCCGATGAATGAGAGTGGTTTCCCCTATATGAAACACCCAGTGAAGTATCTGGAAGGCAATGGGGACATGGTGGGTGAAATACTGGTTTGGGGGACTTTCCAATGGTAAGTGTTTCTGAACCTCACCCACCACATCAGTAGTACCCTTCCCACCACCAATCATTGAGGCAACCTAAAATGCTTCTACAACTCTCTGAAAGATTCTCTCATGGGGAAATACTGTCCTAAATAAGTACCACTGTTTAAAAACCTTCCAAACCAAAGTTAGCATTTATTCAAAACAATTAGTTTTTCCTTGGTTAAGATGTGTAGCGCAAGGTAAAATAGAAGTATGTATGAAATGATCACCTTCTTCAAGGTTTTAACATCCTAACCAAGAAGATGGGCCACTTACACATATACGGTTAACATTTAAAATGTTTGTTTATCCAAAAGAGAAAGATGACTGAGAGCGGGGCATACCCAGGACTGTGTAAAGTGAAATGTGAAAGGTGTGTACATAATGAAGTGACTCTGGAAGGCTGGAGTCACAGCTGCGGATAAAATAACTGTGGTAAAGTAACGGATGCTAACAGTAGAAATTAAAACTGGACTCTCATGTCCAGCTTAAAATTTCATTGTGTAATTCATGAATTGAACATCATATATAAGGTGCTCCATACAAAACTATTGACTTTTAAAATAAATAACTGCTAAATTTCTAACTTGTTGTGGCAAAGTTAGAGAACTTTACATTGAAGACCCATTATGTCTTTCGTTGGTGACTCATTTTCAGTTGCTTCTCTTTGTTGGAATATTTAATTACACCTACCCAAATTTGGGATAACTCACTAACTGATTCATTGCTTCATTGCATTCAGAAATATGGAATTTGATTTGTCAAAACAATAGATCATGACTTTATGTCTCTTTTCCCTGACTCTTCTAGGTATGATTTTGTAGAAGTTGAAGAACCCAGTGATGGCACTGTCTTAGGACGCTGGTGTGGTTCTGGTTCTGTACCAGGAAAGCAGATTTCTAAAGGAAATCAGATCAGGATACGATTTGTATCTGATGAATATTTTCCGTCTGAACCAGGGTTCTGCATCCACTACAACATTGTCATGCCAGTAAGTACTGCTTTGAGTTCCTCTTATTTAATGAATCCTTTTGCGAGTCCTCTATTTGTTTTTTTTTTTTTTCCTCCACCTCCCTTTAAACATAAGAATCTGCAAGCCTAAAAAACAATAACCTTTCCAAAGCCTGGACTTTTTATTCTCATATAAATGTCACTGCATTACAAGTAACTTATAAATGTTGTCATTATAGATCATTAGCAATCTTGGATACCTTGTCAATATAATGAAATAAAATATTTTATAACATTTATGTGGTTATTGATTAGCATTTTAGTGTTGTTAGGAAATTACACAGGGATTTTCTCTTTAGGAAAATTTTTGTTATTTATTACTCTTAGGTAGGGATCACCGTCAAAATTTGACTCTACACTGCCATTTCTGAATGAATTTCCAGTTTGAGTCATGGTAAACAACAAACCTAATTTTAGTTTTCTAGCATATTTGAAGACCCATTTTTTATGATACTCTTGTTCTTTTGCTAAATATTCCTTTTACTTTAAAGATACAAAGTTGGTTTATCAATTCTAACAGCTTTTGGGTGGGGTGTTAGTTTTATCCATCTACAACGTCATGACATCTGCAAACATGAATGATTTCACTTCGTCTTTCCCAATTTTGATGCTCTTTAATTCTTTCTCCTCCCTAATCACTCTTGCTAACAATTCCAATACTGTATTGAATAAGAGTGGCAAAGTAGCACATTGTTGTCTTGTTCCAGATCTGAGGGGAAATGCTTTCAGCTTTTCCCCATTCTGTATGAAATTGGTTGTTGGTTTCTGATATATAGCCTTTGTAATTTTGAGAAGAGTTTTTATCAGGAAGGGGTGTTGGATCTTATCAAATGCTTTCTCTGCGTCTATTCAGATGACCATATGTTTTTTGTTCTTCATTCTGTTGATTTGATTTATGACATTTATTGATTCATGAATGTTGAACTACCCTTGCATTTCTGGGATAAATCCCACTTGATTGTGATGTATGATCTTTTGATTTGATGTGGTTTTGAATTCGATTTGCTAGTATTTTGTTGAGAATCTTTGCATCTATGTTCATCAAAGATATAGGTTTTGCAGTTTTCATGTCGTGTCTTTGATTTTGGTATCAAAGTAATGCTGGCCTCATAAAGAGTTTGGCAGAGTTCCATCTTGTTCAATATTTTGGAATAGTTTGAAGATTATTGGAGTTACTTCCTTTTTTAACATTTTGCAGAATTCGGTAGTAAAACTATCAGGTTCCAGACTTTTCCCTGATGAAAGACTTTTGATGACTGCTTCAATCTCACTGCTTGTTATGGGTCTGTTTAGGTTATCTATTCTTGGTAGGTTATACGAATACAGAAATTTATCCATTTTTGGAGGGTTTTCCAGTTTTTTAGCATATAGTAATAGTAATTTCTTTATAGTAATTTCTCTTTTTTTAAGATTTATTTATTTATTTGAAGGCAGAGTTACAAAAAGTCAGAGCCAAAGGCAGAGAGAGAGAGAGAGAAAGAGAGAGAGAGAAATTCTTCCATCTACTGCTTCACTCCACAAATGGCTACAATGGCCAGAGCTGGGCCCATCTGAAACCAGGAACCAGGAGCTTCCTCCACGTCTCCCACAGGGGTACAGGAAGCCCAAGGACTTGGGCTATACTCTGCTGCTCCCCAGGCACATTAGCAGGGAGCTGGATCGGAAGTGTAGCAGCCAGGACTCGAACCAGTGCCCATATTGGATGCTGGCACCGCAGACGGCAGCTTTACCCACTATACCACAGCACCAGCCAGCATAGTAGTTTCTTATGATCCTTTGTATTTCAGTGATGTCAGTCGTAATGTCTTCTTTTTCATCTCTGATTTTATTTAGTTGAGTTCTTACTCCTTTTTTCTTTGTTAGTCAGGCTAGAGGTTTTTCTATTTTTTTCTCTTCTAAAAAACCATTTTTTTGTTTTGCTGATATTTTGTGTGTGTGTGTGTGTGTGTGTGTTTTAGCTTCAATTTCATTTATTTCTGTTCTTATCCTAATTATTTCTTGCCTCCTGCTAATCTGGGGTTTGGTTTGTTCCTGTTTTTCTAAGTCTTCAAGATGCCTCACTGCATCTTTAATTTGAGAGGTTTCTCTTAATGTTAAGTACTTAATGCTATAAACTTCCTCTTAATACTGATTTTGCTGTGTCCCTCAGGTTTTGATATGTTGTGTTTTCATTTTCATTTATTTCGAGAAAGCTTTTGATTTCCTTTTTAATTTCTTCAGTGACCCATTGATCATTTAGTAGCATGTTGTTTAATTTCCAAGTATTGTGAGTGTTCTATTGTTCTTCTTTTCCTTTTTTGTCTGAGAAGATACATGATATTATTTCGGTCTTTAAATTTGTTGAGAATTGATTTGTGGCCTAAAATGTGTTGTATCCTAGAAAATGTTCCATGTTCTGATGAGAAGAATGTATATTCCATAGCTGATGGGTGAATAGAGTAATTTTGTGTTCTTATTTTCAAAAGCACATATAAATTTTGAAACAAATATTGTAGTGCTAGAGAACCATCAGTATTTGAGATTTATACCATTTTAGTCTAATTCATGTGTGTATTGCCCCAAAAATCTATGAGCTTATATAATCTTTTAGATTTCTTTTTACTAAAATGGCATTATTCTTTACCCAGCAAGCATTTATTTTTATATCTCTTTTTTATAAATATCGACATAATTTTTACCTTGGAAAAAATAACCATTAGATATTATCTTTAAAACAATATATTAATAAAATATACTTAATACTAGTTATCTAGATTTTCCTATTTATATTAATATTTATTGTGCTTGAATAATACTGATGACCCTTATATGCAAAGAAGTTTTGAAATTCTCACTGAAATTGAAAAATTTATATTTTACTTAATTATAATTGTGTTGTATATTAACTATATTGTTCTTATATTGTGTGTGTTATTTCAACCATTTGTGCCTATTTGTTGCACTATAAAACGACTGGAGCTGGGCTAGGCCAAAGTCAGGAGCTTCATCTGGGTCTCTGTTGGTGTCAGGAGCCCAAACATTTGGGCCATCTTCTAGATTGGAAATGGAGCAGCTAGGACATGAACTAGCTATCGGATCCTGGCATTGCAGGCAGCGGCTCAACCCGCTGCACCACAAGCCCAGCCCAGGAACACAGGTTTTATGTATCCTAATCTATGACAAAATAAGCTGAAAGCTATGATTATTTGTATTTTAAATGAGCAGCTTTCTTAAGGTTAAATCAATTTAAATATGTATAAATAGGAATCTACTATCCTGCTGCAGAATAAACCATGAAAGCTAAAATCTCTATATGCTACCACTAAGCATTTTCCTCTGGTTTTGTAACCACGTGAGTTACCTGGTTCTAGAATCCAAGGAGTCCTGTGGATTAAATGAAATATGTTCAAATAAAAACAAAGAGTATTAACAGTGCCTTGCTCAGCTCTGAACTCATTATGTTTTCTCAGGAAGTATTGAGTGCCGAGTTGATCATGCCACTCAGTTGTCCCACCTTAACTTACAATATCCTTTGCCAGGTGTATTAAAAGTCTGTACACATATATGAGATTCGGGAGCCCTGGGATGAGGTCAAAGGACCACAGGACAGGGATCCAACCACAGGGCCCACCCCTCCATTCTCTTGAATAGGGAAGAGCCTGCCAGCCACCGGCTTTGACCTGTTTTCAGAGACTTTCGTTACTGAAATAGTTTGATAAGTTGTACATGTGGAATGGGGTGGGCTGTTGTCAACCTTCCTGACTTCTGTTGAGCCACTTTCCTGTTTGTTGAGTCTGTCTCTGCTTGGTTGTAGCTAATGGAGATATGTGAGAAATAGCATAGGAGGTATTATAATTAATCTGATTATGTGTAGGAAAATGGTAGGCTTGGACGGGAAGACAGAGCATCAAGGCAGGGTCTTGCATTGTCTATTAAGTGCCACTTGGTCATTTTAATTTTGAAGTTTACTTGTGATAAAATTATTGACATATGAATTTGATTGTTTAAATGTTTAAATTGATGGTGGCAGTTAAACTGCTGTTTCTTCTCCTGTCTGTTGTGTTGGTTCCACATAGTCATGTCTCCTTACAGCCTCATTCATCCTGATCTTAATAACTACCTGCAGGAGATTTGATGAATGGAAATTTGGCAAGCGGTCATGATTTGAAGCCTTGCAGAAGGCTTTGATTTATCATTGTATGTTTCCCCATGACATTCCTCCCTGTGTGCACTCCCCAGCCTTAGTAGCAGGGCAGTAATCCATCAGCCTTATCTATGTATCAGATGAGTGAAAGCCCAGAGCAAGAACCTGTGCCCCTTGGACAGCAGGCTGAGATGTTCCTGTGGCATTTGCTCAGGGGCAAGTGCCCCTCCAAGCCCCTGGACCATCTCTGATATTTTTGTTGTGTTCTTTTTGCTGTGGATAAACCTCACAGTAGCACACCCAATAGCTCAGGGAGGAAGGGGGAGCAGTGGGCTCACTGATGCAAACTCACCACTGCAAAATAGCACATGAGCCTCCACTGACCTCAATGGAACCTTCACTTCGTACTGATAAAAAGTTACCACAGTTCTTGGTAGTGGATTAACTGCTGGCATTACTAGGAGTGCCTAATACAATGCCACACCTATTGCAGCTGCTCATTAAGGCTTCCTAAAAATCGAGCCATTTTGCTATAGAGTTGTCTAACGCCCAGGTAGAGTGGGGCTAACTGCGCGTGTATTGTCTGTTACTTTTGTGGTTGTCACACAGTGGACAAGATTCAGAAATGAGGGAACTGGACAATCAGTTTCCTGACCCCCAGATATTCTCCTGGTCCTGTTCTTGCTCAGTTTCCTCTTTTTTGGGGAGTAAATGAAGGGAAAATGGTGAAACATTCCCTGTTGTTTAAAAAATCAGTACATACTTACCATTTTATAATGATTAATTTTTATAATTTAGCCTTCAATACTTTTAATAATCAACCCAGTGCATATTTGTTTATCTGTTCATATATAGAA